AGTATGGCATATTTTTATGTAGAACTACTATGCGATAATTTAGAATGGGAGTTGGCAAACTGTGACTGACAAGCTAAATCCACCCTGTATTAGTTTGAGTTTTGTTTAGTATAGACATCAAAAGGGCAAAGAAGTGTCTGGATCCACCCATGGATTTCTCTCTTTGCCTCCTAGCACTCTGTCCCTCCACTACATCCTTGCCTGAGCCTCTTGTTCCACCAAGCCAAGGAGAAAAACTCTTAATCCGATTCTCTACCATTTTTACTGCCACTGGTTCCTTCCAGTAATACAGGAAGAGATGAAAAGGTGCATCGTTTAATTTTTAGCAAGCTTGCATATTTTGCCATCTTAGCTTCCATTTTTTCCTCGAGAATTCTAAGATTTGAGTTGTAGTTACTGGCTTTGTATAACTATAACATTTAATATAACTTAATACATATCTATATATTAATATATATGCTTAACTATACATAAATATATATTAAATTATATAAATATATATATTTTATATGAGTTATATTGAATATAACCCATATTATGATATAACTCATATATGAGTTACATTAAATAACTTACATATTAAGTTATTTAATCAGCTTAAAGAGGATTCCAAATAAAACCATGAGCTGAAAACAAGTAGCCATACAGTATCAAGTTAATTTACATTTTTCCTAACTTTTGATATTTAAACAAAAGATGGAAAAATTAGCTTCAAGAAAGAGAATTTGACAATAGTAAATAGTCTTGGAACAGTCTCCTTCACCCAAAAAATCATGATTTTTTTCCCCAGCTATAAATGATTATTCTATGAAGTACAAGGGACGAGCAAGTTAAAATTCTCCTGCTGAATCACATCTTTGGCATTTCATCTGAACTACAGGAAGTTTTCTAAAAATATCTGCTGAATGCCTCTCCCCCTGCTAAAACTAGTTTACAGTCTTTATAAAGAGGTAAAAGTCATTGGTGGCTGAGCACTGCCAGCTAGCAAGAAGCCAGTTATTTAATCCTTGAATGAGGTCCCTTCTTTCTCTCTGGGCAAACCATCAATGTTTATTTGTTATTACAATATACTTGTATAGCACTTCACAGCTTACAAAAGGCTTTCCTGTACATTACACCCTATCTGCCCAGTAACCTTGTAATAGAGTAAAAGAGAAAATTCTGTGTTATAAATGTGGACACTGTCTCACAGATGTTGAATAATTTCTCTAGAGTCACAACTGGCAAGTGTCAAAGAAGAGATTCAAACTCTCCCTCTCAGAAACATCCAAGTATTCACTTTAAATAGTTCAAGGATGTCTATCTTTCCTCTCCTTTTCTCAAATGACATCAGAGAAGCATTACCCTTCCCTTGGGAACAAGTAGGTATCAAGTGTTTGAAATTTCTATTTATGATTTTAACAACAGCAAATGACTTTTTAACAGAGAACACTAGTGCTAGAAAAAGATAGGAAAGAACAATCCTTAAAACTTCATTACATCGCACTAAGAGTACACCAATATCTTTAGTTTTGTAAGACCAAAGTCTGTCTGTAACTTCTGAAACTTCTTATTCTACTTCCTCAAATATCCAAAAATAATTTGTCTGAAAATCATATCATAAAAGGACCACAATATCCCAGTAACTGTGGGGAAATCAAAGGAACTCAATCCATGCTATTACTATAAAAATGCAAGCATTGGCAAAAACAAATTCTAAAAGGTTGACTTTTAGAATTGTTGATGTGACAATTGAAAACACACCTTTTACTATGGCAAGTCTCAGAAGATAAACAACTGGGGATGGGTGTGCTCTTTTCACTGCTCCCTCTCTATCAACCCAATATTACTAAGTGATGCTTCAAGAACTGGTAAGACAATCTGCATGAAAAGTCCTTATGATACTGTGAATATAATTAATTAGGGTAGCTAAAAAATGGCTGAAGACATATTACAAGAAACTAAAACCAATAATCAATGTCTTTAAACACAAAAAGAAAAAAACAGAAAATTAGTGAGACCACTTACTGACCTTGGAGTGCCTTGATTTTGTTCCAGGATTAAAATGAAATACTGAAAGAGCATTGCTTATGCTAGTCCTATCCCGATCTAACCGCCTGTAGGTGACCGCTTTCCATATTTTGAGTTATCTACACATCTCAGACATACATACAAAAGGTGTGAGGATACTAACATTAATAAAGCATATGTATTTCACAGGCCCTCTCACTGCTCTGGAGAAATGGGCTTTGAATAATCCTTTGCATTTCCGTCGCTGTCACCCCAAGGGAGAGGTGAAAAATGGTGCCCCATGTGAGGCATTTATGACTCCACAGGTCAGAGACGGACCTGCCAAGCCTTTGGAAGGAAAAGGACATCCAACATTTATATTTATGCATCCCAGCAAGGGAAGACCCGACAGTAAGGGAATCACAGGTGGCTCTTGATTAGCAGTCCACACCTACGGCGGGTCAAGTCAGGTCCTTTCAGCCCTTAGATTAGAAGGACCACAGTCCTTAGATCAGGCTGTAGCTTAGTAGGATCTTTATCTTAGTAGGAGAATAGTCCTTAGCTGTTAGAAGGGCCAAAGCCCTTTAGTTTAGACTATAGCATAGTAGGACCACAGTCCTTAGTTTTAGCAAGGCCAGAGCCTTATAGTTTGAGGAATAACCTAACCTTTTAGTATTGCACATAGAAATGCTAAGCTTGGGAAAAAAACAGAAAACTTTCACAGGACTAAAAAGTCTCTGGTGGGGATATGAGAATTGTAACACAGCATAAGTGCTTGCTCTAAGGACAGATGCCCTTGGTGCAGCTAAACCTAATTATGGGAAAATACATGTACTGAAAGCTTCAAGGCTATTCTGCCAGTTAGAGGCTGGTTCCACATTTCACCTTCAACTGCTTCTTTAAGTTTCCTAGGAACTAAGTGTTGCCATAACGATTATCTCTTTGGTTCTGTTGTATGTCACACAGCTTAATTTTATGACTCCTTTGATGGTAAATTGCTTAAACTGTTTTTAAGTTGCACCTGCTTTAATGAAAATTGTTATGTAGCCAGTTTATGTTTTCACGATGACTGATTAACCACCTGTGTTCTTTTCTGTAATTTTTTGCCTGCACAATAAAAAACCAAGAAAAGCCCTGATTCGAAGTCATTTCCCAGTAATTCCTTCTCTCTTGAAGAAGTCATTCCTTGGATTTAACCCCTTCTGGGCCTCTCATTGCTCTGGAGAAATGGGCTTTGAGTAATCCTTTGCGTCTCTGTCTCTGTCACCCTGAAGGAGAGGTGACAAAAGGAAAGCTGAAATTAACAACAAAATCCCAAGACTAACCGTTGAAGATATTTTTAATGGTCTGCCACCTTTCTTACAAGTCTATACTTCTGGAACTTAAGAGTACCAGCCATGGCTTATTTGTACAATATTTGTGAAAGGGTGAAAGAAAAAAAAAAAAAAAAGGCTGAGGTAGATCCCTAGAGATAGAATATATTAGTACACCCATGTTGAAACAACCTAAGTGATCCATATAGATGAGTTAGGTCAAAGTCAACAGGATCTTTCTTCTATGTTAACTCTTTCATTTTCTACCCTCTTCTCCCCGTCTCTCCTACCCTTTCTCTTTTTTACTTGGTATCTCGCCTGGGATTCTTCTACCTCTCCTTACCTCACAATCTCCCCCTCCTCTAATTTATAATTGAGGAAAGGCATATGAATGTTTTTTACATTACACGATCTTGCCTTCAACTATACATTTCTGGTCCTTAAAAGTTGCAGAACATGGCATAGTAGAAAAAATGTCAAAGTCAACTAGAAAATCAATCAGAAAAGTCAATACGAAAATTGAGTCGCAGCTCCACTGCTATCTATTTTTGTGACTGTGGACAAATAATCTTTCAAAAGGAATCCTAAAATGTTCTTATCCAAAATTCAGAGTTACAGTTATCAGTATAGATTAGTAACTATAGTTTACTTAGTATACAATAGGTATTTTATGGTTTTTCTACATGTTATAATTTTCAGCTTTTTAGAAAAGTTGACTTATTCAAATCAGCATACAAAGGTGACACTTGAATTTCCTGTTTCTTAAATCCCTTTTAATGTAAAGTTTCCTCTTTTTCTCTGCAGCTTGTTAAACAAAACCAAGTCATTTACCCTACAGAATTGCCCATGTTCTGACTTTTGTTGACTGCACCCCCATGGTGCCCTTTAACATGTTCCTTTATGCCGTGCATTTCTCATTAATGAACAGATCTTGGGTCCTGATCAGCTTCAGGGCTTTTGCTTGTTTTTCAGCAAGACACTTCACAGGCTGTGCTGAGTCTTATCAGAAGGCACATGACAGTAAGATTGACCAGCAGGTTCAGGTGTTGCCATCTTGATCCATCCATACAATGTTCATTAGCTTTTCAACTAATAGCTTCAGTGGCCACTGATCAGATTCATCAATTTATCAGGAATAATGGTGATATTCTAACACTTCTACATTTATTAATTGGAATAATTCTATGTATTCTACAAAATTTCCCCCTCATTTTATTATCCTGAGGTAAGATAAATGTTTATTTTTCTCAGTTTTTCTAGTTTTCTGAATGTCTTCAATATCCTTCCAAAGGTGACCAAGTTGGTTGTTTTTGGTTGCTATTTTTAGATCATTTTGAATGCACAGATTTACATATTTAATGTGTTTTAATCCATTTCCGTTATTATCCTCATTGATCTTGAAATTGCTCCATCTATATAGCCAGTGGTTCAGAATTCCTGCAGAAGCATCCAGAACTTTCAAGGAAAAAAAGCAGTGGTACTTGAGAGCTTTTCTTCTTTGGTGATACTGAGAAATTACTGCTAAATTTTTAGATGTGGAATAGTACTATGGATTTGTTAGGGGAGGAAATGTAAGTTAGATAGTTCCCCAAAATTAAAAGAAAATGCATGCAAGAGGAAAAAATAACTTATCCACACAACTGTACTTTCTACTCAAGAAAAATTTAGAAATCTGAAGTTAAGAGATAGTCTGAAAAGTGTGATTCTTAAAGTGTTCTTTATTAAGATCATTAAAAGTTGTAAAAACAACTTTATATTATAAAGGCACAGGAAGACAGTTCTGATAAAATATTCAAATTAAACAGTAACTTACAGTACAAAAGACAATTTTAATGCACATACAAACCCCAAACGTCTGATTCAAAAATATTTTACTGAGTTTATTAATGGGTAATGATTAAAAATATAAATTGCTGCTGTATAATAAATATCTGATAGTGAATATCTTGATAGCAAAGTGAACAAAATATTTATTGCTTTTCACATACATATTTTTCCCTGTAATTTTAAATTCTTAATTCTTTTACTATCTTCTCCTCAACCTTTTCCAAAGATAAAAGAAATTCCACATAATCTCATGGGGGCGGTAATGGTAGTTATAAAAAACTACCTCAAGTAGCAATCACTGCTGGCAGTGTTTTCTCACTTCCTGTTCTGCAATCACAATCACCCTTTCAAAAAAGCAAGATAAACGTTTGCTAAACCAAGGACAACCCCCTCTGTCACTGGCATTCTAAGGTTTGTAATGAATACTTATCAAATATAAAAGGTGCTCCATTTTGAAAATGTGTATTTTATTTGAAGTTCTGAGTAAGAGGCAAATGTTTGACAAATAATTTTACTTCCCTTGAAAATTTTCCAAAGTTGTAAAAAGTCAGCTTAGTAAAATTTCCAACATTTATATATTTCATTGAGGGCTAGTTGGTGTGTGCAATGTACTGATGTATAAAAATTAACATAATGCAATCTATTTTATAATGGAGAGCTCTTAACCCTTTTCCTCCCAGTTTTTTAACTGGGATTGACTTCACTGATTTTGTCATCCTCTTTTTGTAGCAACCTAGATTTAGATGGTACAAGAAGAATTTCCATCACAACAGTAAAATAACGTAAAAGTATCATCCTAATTTAAGTCATACTATTTCAACTTAAGAAATCCCTACATTTGATAATCACTGTAAAGTTACTTAACCATATGTCAAGTTCAGACAGTGTGGAGCAGCGAGTAACACACCTGGCACAGAATTGATGCTCAATAAATAGTTGCTGAATGAATAAAAAAACCTGTGGCTTTGGTTGTACAAATTTTAATCACTTTCTGATGTAGAATAAGGTCTAGAACTAACTACTGTATACTACACCAAACTTTGCTATAAACAAAAGTAATAACTTCAAACAGAAAAATATTACCTATGCTAGTGATAGTCAATTTACATACTGTAACATTTTTTAAATAGCCCACAAATTTCACACACTTGTTCATTTTTATCCACATACTTAAATTTGATGTTCTGATGTTTAACAATTGGGTAAATAAGACCAAGGTGGGCAGACCAGCTGAACTGTCTGCTTTACAGTAAAACTTACTAGTCCATCAATAAATAAAAGGTTATGACGCCTGATTAAACTCAACCCATGACTGCCATTTTAATTTTGTAAAACTACCAATGAATAAAAGGTAGGATATCTCTACATATTCTTGAAAGCAGCAGTTTAATTTCAACTTCAAAGAATAACTAGGGAAATCTGAATTTAATAATGACAGCTAAAATTTTGGAAGTAGGATAGTAAGAATAAGTAGGAGACCAATTCTATTTTAAATTCTAAACATGGGACTAAGGTCTAATACTTCTTTGGCATATGCATTACTATCTTAGACTAGTTAGCATTTTTAAAATACTGGGTTTTATTTTTTCCTGAACCAAAATTAATATCAAGGTGTAGATTGCTAATATACTCTTCTTAAAGACTTTAGGAGTAAAGGACAAAATGACATTTTGTAACATATGCCAAACTTCATGTTTAGTATACACTAATAATTATTGGCATAGAGGGATGTAACTGATAAATAACCTGAAATGACATCATGCAATGGTGAAACCACAGACGGTAGTGAAAAAAAGTATTTACATAATAAAATAGTCAGCTTTCTAAAAAAAACAGTAAACCTGGGAATCCTGCCCTAACAGTAAATATGTACCGCATAGCACTGAATGAAAACTAGTCAAAATTCAAATGAACACCTATAGTAACCTGAATGTGTAAAATTTAATAAAAAACATAAAAATGGAAAAAAAACCCTTACACATCAGAAGGAAAAAGAGGCCTATAAAACAGGCCAATCTAACTTGATATTCAAAGTAAATGCAAGAGATTCACAAAATCATGATAGTAATGCAAACTAAGTACCAAATACTCTTTGATACACAAGCCAATGTAACTATCAGACTCATTTCCAATAGCTTAACAATATTCATAAATCCACTTAGCGATGGGGAGTGGGGGGTAGGGTGCACACAAGCAGTCAATGACAGCTCAAGTCTCCAAAGTATAAGAACATACTTATTTGCAGAAGCATCATGTGATTTTTGAAGTAATGTCTTATTTTGATGGATGTTAACATAAGATCTATCAGTGCAAGTTTATCATCCCCAGAATGTAACACTTCCAAATTTCGTTTTTCCAGACAGTTTTTGGTGGTTTAGTTTTAGACAGTGCTATTTAAATGGAGAAAAGGAAAAAAAGAAGTTCATCAGAGACTACCTCACATTGTTACTTAATTGTGCTAAATATTCTCGCAGTTCTTTGGCAGCCTGGAACCTGCCATAGCGCTTCTTTGGGTTTGCACACTCATCCAGCAAGGCCTCGAGTCGGCCGTCTTTGGCAATTTCACTTGGTGGATCATGAAGGAGTCCTCCAGAAGAGCCACGCCATGTGGCATGTCTGGATAAGAGGTTCTGACAAACAGCATAATAATTGTGGTCCACAGTGGCACGAGCACAAAGAATTTCTTTTGAAAATGATAAGCAAGCCTCCTTATCACAGTCATCAAATTTGCTTTCATACCATACATCCCAATTTTCAGGTTTATCTGTGAAAGGGGGAAAAGCAGAAAGAGAAAAATTCATTTTAAAATAGAGTTTTCATTGCTTCAAAAAATAGAACATTTCACTAACATAATAGTATTTGTTCTATACTATTGTGTATAAAAGTATAACTTTAAACATTTAAATATATTAATACACAGAGACATTTATCAGAGCCCACCAATGCCAGGCAAAAGTATCAGAGAAGGTCCCTACCACTTACGGGTTGAGTCTAGTGACTTTCCATCATACACAGAAAAGTGCCATACGGAAGTATGACACAACGCTATAGGAGTAGAGGAAGCAGCACTTCTGCTTGGGGCTGTAGAAGGCTGCAGAGAGGAGAACATCTGACTTAGGTTTTAAAAAATAAGTCTGAAAAGAAACAGAGAAAATAGCATTCTAGGCCCAGAATACAGTATGTGCAAAGGCATGGACTTAAGAGACCTGGTCCAGCTGGTTCAGGAAACAGTGAGACATTCACTGTGGCTACAGTGTGAGGCAGATACCTGGAAAGGAGGTACAGATGAGTTTAGAGAAACAGGTTGTAACTTGTGCGATCTGGTCCATGATTTCTTTTATACAGAAAGATAACTCTGGGCCGAAGACTGGAAATACTAAGACGACGACGGCTCAGAATATAAGCCAGGTTGGAGAAATATTTGAGACAAAAATTAACATCTAAGTGTATAGGCAAAATTTAAGGTTCTAATTGGATGACAACGTAGATACTATGAGAGTACTTCAAAAAGTTCATGAAAAGATTTGTATTATCTTTTAACTCCATTTTTTCACAAACTTTTTGAAGTACTCTCATATTAACCTAATAGTGTCAGTATTTTATATATAAATAAAATAAAGTAGCTATCAGGTATTCAGGTAGGCACGTCATATATGCAACTAGAACTAGACTTGAAACTTAGGACTTCGAAGTGAGAGGTATAATATGCATATTTAGAACACATTGGCATATATGTGCTTGATGGAGCCAGTGATTAAAGGATAAGTAGTCAGCTGTACATGGAGGAGGGAAACCACATATGGGAAAGCCCAGAAGTGATAAGGTTCATTTAAGAAAACAAAAGACCACTGCAGCTGAAGCGTCAGGGGCAATGGATGGAGGGATATTAGAAACGAAGCAGGAAGCAGAACAGGGCCAAGTCACACAGACTATGCCTTGGTGAGGAGTTTGTAGTTTAGATTTTACCTGAAGAAAAATGTGAAGTCATTTTTAAATCCATTTTAAGAAAAGGAATGATAAGATCAGATTTATGTTTTTAACAAGTTACTATTTCAGTAGAAAGAATTTTAAGAAGTTGTTACTAATCAGAGTTACTTCACAAATTTACCAATTAGGAGGTTACTGATGGCAAGGCAGACATCTGAGTCAGGTTTTAATAAGTTTAGGAATGAGTGGAGGCTGAGGAAGTAGAGAAAAGCAAATAAGCAATACTTTTTAGATAGCTGAAGGTCAAGGAGAAGCAAGAGAGGGTCTTATACATACTTGTTTATGGGGAGGTAAGAGAAATCGGATATTAAATGAAGAGGGTGGGAAGATAGGTTGAGAAGATAGCATACAGCAAGTTCTCAGAGAAGGATCTATTCTGAAAAAGAGATGAACGTGTGTTCTTTTACTAAGTTTAGATGATTAACAATTTTTCAAGGAATGTTCACATAAAATGAATTACAAAAAATTATTTTTACAAACACTAGAATGAAAAATTTAAAACTTTAGGCAAATTGCATAATGCTTTGAATATACTAAAAGCCACTGAATTGTACATTTTTAAAGAGCATGGTATTTTATTTTATTTTTTAATTGTACATTTTAAAAAAGCATGGTATCAGCTGCTACAACATCCACAGATGTAGGAAGAGGTAAGTGGGGAGTGGAGCCCTCCAGCAGGGCATTCACTCCATATGGCAGGACTTATGAGGCAAGTCAAGAAATAATCAGAAAGTAGTTTGGTGGTACAGAATCAGAACAATGGGAAAAATCAAGTATTTAACAGGATCATGCTAAAATCATGCAAAAAGTGTCAACCTAATATACTGTTGTCACATTAACCACATTTTTCCAGATGCCACAAATTTTCAGCCTCTGTTCATCAAAAGATCTTATATACCTTATATCAGGGAAGGGGAGGGGATTAAAAATATAAGATCCTCACCATGGAGCGATAACCCTTCAGTTTCTTTTTTGAACTGAATTGGTTCTAGAACTATAGGCTTTGTCCTTGACACTTAAAATTCCTACGGCATTAAAGTTTCAAAACACTTCAAAACACTATCCTGTGAAGATCTCACAAATGGAGAGCAAAGTTTTGGGTAAGATGTAATGATCAGAATGTCAAACCAAAGTCAGATCTGCAGTGCTAGGAATCATCCAAAAGGTTAAAAACAAAACAAAACCATCATTGTAGGTAACCCACAGAACAAGAGAACACAGACATCCTTTTACGAGACTCCACAGAAGGCTTCCATGAAAGCTGTACAGTCTCTCTGGAAGCCTGTAACAATACAAACTTATTTCTGCACTACACTCCTAAACCACATTATGCAAAAAACATGTACATACACACACAGTATATTTGTGCTCATATGAACACAAAGGATATTTTACTACATACAAACTGTGACTAAGAGTACAAGTATAATCAATACAATAAATTAAGTATTTGGTTTTTGATACTGGTTACCTAAAGCAAAGAAAGATGCAAGGTTACCATACAAGGAGGAAATTCAAGGCTTGCATCATAAGAATATAAACATTACTCTGAAGTAGAAAAACTATGTACAAAAAAACCCCTAAAAGTTATATACTTACTTTGCCTAATTAATCTTTTGTCCGCAACCAAAACATTTTCAGCATCCACAATGATTACCTTCCCATCTCTAGGACCAACTGCAAAATTGTCAAAGCTGACGTCCAGGAGGTAGAGTGCAAATTCAAAATCATTGTTTGTAAGCTGCTCTGCTATCTCCATTAATTGCCAAGCGAGGTCAACTCGTTTCTCCCATGGTGCATTAAAGTAACTCCACAGTTCTTCTCCAACATAATTTACAGCCACCATTCTTCCACATGCTCCAAGGTACTTTGCAAATGGCCAACCTTCATCAGATGGAAAACTCTACAAAAGAATTATCTTAATATTATAAAAGATTCTGATGAAGATATCCTAGGTATATCCCCAAATCTTCTCAATAGAGATTGCCACAAAAAATGAGTTTGGGTTTCTTGTTATATTCAACAGTTCACTAGAAATAAACTTCATTTTTTTTTTTTACCCAACTCATACCATTATGGTGGACCTGAAAAAATTTTAAATAGAGAACTTTACATTATAAAGCAAAAATAGGATTTGACAAGTCTTCCTTATCAAAATCTTAGAAACAAGCTGATCAATAAAAGGTAAGACACAGTCTTTATTACCAAATCTTTAATTATTTATGCTTTCCTTTATCTTCTTGATTGTGTTAAGTGCAATCAACCAATCGTTTCTTTTCAATGGACAGGTCTGCAAGTCTATTAACCAGAAATTATTTACCAGGCACCAGGCATTGTGCTATGCTGGCAATAGGAGCAATCAAACAGTCTCTGGTTAGTCAAGGGCTTTTATTTTAGACAAACAGACACACACCAAAGAAATAATTATGTTGTATGATAAGTGTTAGTTACTAAGAAGTGGTACAGGTCCTAGGGAGCATCTAATAGGGGCCTTACCTAGTCCAGAAGCAGGCAGGGATGGGAGGATCCAGGAGGTACATTTTAACCTACATCCAAAGGCTGGGAAGGTACCGATACCCTATCAATGCAATCTCCACTCCAAGCACCTGTTTCTCTTTCCTCAGCCACCACATTTTCTGTTCACACTGGCCCATTCTCCAAATTATTCTCCTCATCTTAGCAAAGTTTTCTAAGATTGTATTACTACTTGGGAGGATTATCATCATAATCAAAAAAAGTCTTCCATGACCAATAAGAAGTCATTTTCAACTTAAGTAAAATTATAGGCTTTATCTAAGATACTCTTCATGGCTAAAACACGTAATTATGAAATGAGCAATGGAGGAAGAAAGGATGGGAAGTAGTGTTTTAAACAACTTCTTAGATGAGATCACATGACTAGAAGTCAGTTTTAAGAGCCATTCCCTCAGCCTAGCATCTTTCCTTAAGTTTGGGAAAAAAAAAAAAAAAATTATGAGAAGATGTTTACAAAACTACTACAGGGGAGTAGAGGTGGACCAGGAAGACAATATAATCTTATAACAAAACACCATACAATACAAATGTGTTCTACTTTCATTACTAAAAACTGAATACATACATTTTAAGAGCTAGAGATGAGGCTGTTCTTGAATCTCTTAAGAAAATAGGAAATATTAATTTTACTCTAGGCTTTATAAAATTGTCAAAATTCAATAGCATCCTTACATTAAATTTTTTTTAGCAACTTTAAAACAAAAAAAGATTTTTAGAACTAAACGTCATTCATAACTACCTATTTCCATTTGTGCTCCCTTTCAACTCTATCTGTGCACGTAACTGTACTTGTTCTTTGTGTATATAACCTTTTACTTTTAAATTTTAACATCTGCAGTTTTGTAATAAAACACTAGTTAAATAAATGAAAAATTTAGATATGATATTATAAATCTTTAAATATAGTAAATTAATTGATTCAATTTTAGTTCAGAGACTATCTACTGATTCTTTAGAAATTAGAGGTAAGTATATTTTAAATCTCACTCCTGAGAATTTTTTTATTTCTTTGGGGGGCACTAGGAAAAGTGACAGACTACTCATGTCCAATGTGAAGTGCAAAAACTGCTTGCTAACTACGTGCTGTTTGCAACTTTTCCTCCCAATTTAAAATACCTCCATGACCTTGAAGTTTTAGTTAGACAAATAATTACAAAAGATTTAACTATTTCCCAGAAGCATTCATGTATAAAGTCCCCAACATAAAAAAAATGAAAACATTTAAAATAAGTAAATATGTGAGGTTATATAGTTTTGTCATGCAAAAAGTAAACAAAAAAACTCCTCCATACACTATTGGGATATTATTCACATGCCATATTGCGAAACTGATACAAACATATCTTTTAAAAAATAAAATAGTCTTTGACAACAGGAGAAAAGGGAACCTTGCCAACATCTGCACTTGCACAAATGCCTCCTTGTTTTTGGAGCCTTTCCAACTGGCAAACAACAATCAAATCTACACTTCATTACCCACGTCCCTCATAGAAGAGGGTATAATATATGAACACATGTTACAGTGAGCAATTTTATATTCACAGTGATTTTTGACAATGTTAACTGAAATCCTGTTCTGCCTCATTTTAAGAGCACTACAATTCTTTCACATAGTTTGCTACCTAATCTTTTGGAAGAACTTTAATAAATGAATTCACACCATTTGCTCATATGACAAGAATTTTTCACTGTATAATCAAAATAGTCAGATTTCATTAATGAAAAAGGAATTCTATTGAACAAGTCAAAATATACATAATTTGTACTAGAGCAATTCTGACTTGGAACCAAATTACCATGGTCAAGCAGAGTTTAAGAGACAAAATTTTAAGACATTAGAACTTAGATGTGGTAAACATATCAAACAATAAGAAAAAAAGTTTTTCCTGATTATCAAACCCTCTCAATCAATAAAACACAGTAGCTAGAATAAGAAGTTTACTGCTGATGTCTACATTTTTTTTGTTTAAAACAAAAATCTAAAAATCGGAATTTCAAATTGCCTAGAAAAAGCACACAGTTTAAAGTAACCTGAAATAAAATGAAATTTTAATAAATTATTTGTAACTGAAAAAAATGTACAAATACTTTTCAATTGAAGGAAGGAAACTTTAAATTCATAATGGTATCAATTTCAATTGGATTAGAGGCACTCCACTGCATTTTTAAGTATTTTCAACGAGGCTTGAATGTATGTCATAAAGTGTAATATGTAAACTTTGTAAAAGTAAATATTAGTTTAAGATTGTACAAAGGCACAAAACAGTTATAAAACTATATATTTACTTTTCTATTACTGTTTTTTAAAGTTGGTGACAACCCAAAGAAGATGTCTATAGAAAATTACTGCAAATGTAAAATTAAAAATGGAAATTTGATGTATTAAGTCAAACATAGTTAACAGCTAAGATTTAAAGAAATATTAAACGTTTTCACTATTAATTACAAAAAAAAGTATTATGAATACTAAACATAATATAAATCACCATGTCTAGTCAATTTTTTTTGAGGGGGGTGGGTAACAAAACTGCAATATCATAAAACTCAATAATACTAATAACAATATTGTATGTACTAACAGTGTCTTAAAGCCAAGGTTTCAGAAGTAAGTGAACAAAATCACTAAGGTCATCAATCCATTGTAAGAGAAAATAAAATGAAGGTGATATACAATGTATGTAATCAACATTACAGTAAAGATTAGAAAACAGATATTTTATACTCTTTATAGTATATAATATTTCATAAAATTCAATTTTAAAGGGCAAAATAGTATATAAGTAGAATAATGAACTTGAAATAACAAGGCTAGATTTTGAGGTTCACCTTAAATTCTACATCTCATTAGCTGTAACCATGGCAAATAACTTCTTTTAGCCTTGTTTTCTTTCTCTGTAAAACTGGAATAATACTTGTAGTACTATATTCATCAAGGCTATCCGAGGATTAAAGGAAAAAAGGTATAAAAAGTACTTTGAAAATTTAATACTACTTCATATACTTCCTGTTTGAATCTGTTAAATAAAAAGTCCACATTAAAAAAAAAGTCCATCTGCCTCTTTCAGCAAATGGTGCTGGGAGAACTGGATATCCATATGCAGGAGAATGAAA